ATCAGAATTTTGATTCTTCTAACCAGTGTATAGAATTGGCAGATGGTAGTAGGCAAAATGGTATTGTATCAGGTAGAGGTGATGCAAGAGTTGAAATTAATGATGTTAATGGTAATAGTCATAAAGTTCTACTCAAAAATGCTCTATGTGTTCCTTCCTATAAACAGAATATATTTTCTGTTTTAGCAGCCACACAGAAAGGTGCATCAGTAAATTTTACCCCAAATTCTGCAGAATTGAAGGCCTTATATGGTACAGTGTTTGATATTAATAAACATGGCAAACTGTATTATTTGAATGATGTGAACTCACAGAAAAGCAGCAGTCATACTATTGGGGAATGGCAAAAATTTTACGTCATTGTAATGTGAAAGATATACTTAAATTAGAAAATGTTGTTGATGGTATGAACATTACAGATAAGAATAATTTTGATTGTAATGTATGCATTTCAGGTAAAATGTCTCAGTATAGAAGTAGAGAACCTGATCAGCGAGCTACAACCAATTTAGAACTTGTACACTGTGATTTAGCAGGTCCTGTAGACCCTACTGCAAGAGAAGGTTTTAAGTATGCCATTTCCTTTGTAGATGACTTCTCTGGTATGATAATGATATATTTTTGAGATCTAAGAGTGATACTCCGGCAGCTACATAAAAATTCTTGGCGGATTCTGCTCCATATGGATCTGTCAAACGACTAAGGTCTGACAATGGTGGTGAATTCACCTCCACTGAATTTAAAATCTAATGATTACAAATCACATAAAGCAAGAATTTTCTGCTCCATATTCACCACATCAAAATGGTACAGCAGAGCGAGCTTGGAGGTCTATTTTTGATATGGCTAGATGCTTATTGTTGAAAGCAAAGGTACCTAAGACTCTATGGACTTATGCTGCGAAAGCTTCAGGATACATTCGTAACAGATGCTACAACCCGAGGATTGGAAAAACTCCCTATGAAATGTTCACTGGAAAAAGGCCAAATCTGAGTCACATGCACGTATTTGGAAGTGCATGCCATGCTTATGTCCAGAACAAGAAGAAGTTGGACCCTCGTAGTGAACAAGGAGTGTTCATAGGATATGATGGATTGAGTCCAGCCTATCTAGTATATTTTCCAGAGATAAATGATGTTAAGAGAGTTAAATGTGTAAAATTCAGTAACAATTTTAATCAGGAAAATGTGGTGTTAGATGTTGAACATGAATATAAAAGATATACAGCACCAAACCCAGAAACTGAAGTTATTACAAATGAGACAGCTGCAGAAGACACTGAAAAACAGATACCCTTCGAGGTAACGACAAATAACCCAAACATATGGAAGATTATGTTATGGAACCTGACTTTTCCAATATTTCCAGGTGTTCTGTTGATTTTTGCTACAGAGTTACAGATATTCCAAGAAACTACCAAGAGGCAGTCTCATCTCCAGAGTCCATGCAGTGGCATAAAGCTATGGATGAGGAAATGGAGGCTCTAAGAGACAATAACACATATGAACTCATGCCACCAGTTGAAGGTAGATCAGTAATTGGTGGAAAATGGGTCTATGCAGTGAAACTTGGCCCTGATAGTGAAGAAAAATTCAAAGCTAGGTAAGTAGCTAAAGGCTATTCACCAGTTCAAGGTGTGGACTATCAAGAAACCTTCTCACCAACAGCTTGTGTTATATCAATAAGGATGTTACTGCAGCAAGCAATACAAGACAACCTTATGATTCACCAAATGGATGTTAAAACTGCTTATATGAATGCTGACATAGATTGTGAAAATTTATTTAGAACAGCCAGAAGGTTATGTTAAAAGTAATATAGGTGAATAATTTGTTTGTAAATTAAAGAAATCTTTATATGGTTTGAAACAAAGTGGCCAAAATTGGAACATGCTACATAATTTTCTTTTGAGTGAAGGTTTTCATCAATCTCTTGTAGATTATTGTGTGTATACTAGAATTGTAAACAAGGTGAAGGTAATTATTATTATCTGGGTAGACGATATAATTATTGCAGCCAGTAATGGTGACATACTTAGTGATGTAAAACTTTCCCTGTGTAATAAATTTAAAATGAAAGATTTAGGAAAATTGTCTTGGTTCTTAGGTATGGAGTTCAAATTTGAAGATGACCGTATTAAGATAAATCAAACTAAATATTTAGAGAAAATACTTAATAGATTTAATATGTCTGACTGCAACCCTAAGTCAATACCATGTGATTTAAGTGTAAGTAAAATCATTAGTAGTGACTCTAAAGAACTGTGATACTAGATTGTATAGACAAATTGTCAGCAGTTTGATCTATGTAATGACTGGTACAAGACCAGATCTATCTTCTATTGTTTCAAAATTGTCGCAACATATGGCAAAGCCTACTAAAGCACTTTTTGAGTTAGCTAAACATGTTTTGAAATATGTTAAAGGTACAATTCATTATAACTTAAAGTTCAGGAAATCAAAAAGTCCATTAAAATTGATTGGTTACTGTGATTCAGATTGGGGTGCATCGGAAGACAGGCGTAGTATTACAGGTTACAGTTATCAGTTAAATGAAGATGGTCCATTGATTTCTTGGAAATCTAAGAAACAGAATGTTGTAGCATTGTCCTCATGTGAAGCTGAATATATGGCTTTAACAGCAGCTATGCAAGAGGCTAATTTCTTAAGAGAGTTGTTAACTGATATGTAAAATTCTAATAGAGAACCTGTAACATTGAATGCTGATAATCATGGAGCTATTGCATTGGCTAAAAACCCTGTACATCATCAAAGGTCAAAACATATCGATATTAAGTACCATTTTATTAGATCAGAAGTAGAAGATGGTATTATTAATCTGCAGTATGTTCCATCAGAAAATAACATTGCTGATATGTTCAATAAACCAGCATCTAAAGAGAAACTAAAGAAGTTTGGTATTATAAGAGGTGTACCCTGGTTTAAGAGGGGGTGTTAGATATAAACTAGGTTACCCCATATTTATGTGAATATGTTGTATTATGTTTTGTGTTAGTCGTGGAATAAAGCGCCACTTTGAATGCGCATGTTATGTTTGTTTTGTTTTTACGGAAGGTCCCAAAAATATACTGGAAAGAGCAACATCGTTTGCGTCATTGTCTGAGCCTCTCGCATCATATTTCGTTGATATCCACCAAAAATGAACACTGTAACTTCAACATGTTCAACCCTAATACTGTACAACCCATGTTGTACTGCTCCCCCATTATACTTATGTTTTTCAATTCCACTGTAATTTATGTATATGCTTATAAAAAAAATAATAATAATAAATAAAATAAATAAATATTGAAGTGATAATCGTGGTAACATTATGAGATGTTTTTATTACCACCATGCTATTGTACTATTCCAGATGTTGCTAAATGGTACATAATACTTCCTTGAGATAAATGTATAGTACAGTATATATCAGGTGCCAAAAAGAGAGCTCAGGTTCTCAACTGGCTCAGGCATGTTAATATTGTTATTATTATCCACTCAGTATCTGGTTTTTTTTTCTGGCTAAATAAACTGTTTCAATTCAATTCAATAAAGTCGCAGTCATATCAACATCAACGATTTTAATATTAATAATAATTATTATTATTATAATGTAATAATAAAGAATACTACTACTAATGATGAAGATAATGAAGTATTCTGTACAAGAACTGTGACGATGTCCAGAAAGCTTCCCGTGTATCGCTTTCTCAGTTTACACCAGCACTACTTTTTCTCTGTGCTCTCATTTGCATTGTGTGTTTATCACGTACCCTTTTAGTATTAAACGCGGTTTTACCCATTGAGTATGTCTGGAAAACGTCCATCTGCCTCCTATGGGGCGCCTAAAGCTAAAAGGGCACAAAAAACAATCGCAATGGACATGGAATGAAATGTGATCACCCGTCTTCAGAGAGGAGAGCGTGTGTCGGAGGTTGGCCGCGTGCCTGGTTAAGTGAGAGCACTGTTCAGACCCTGTGCGGTATATGATGGTTCCCCTAACCTGTACCATTTACATGTATTCTTATGGGAAAATTATGTTTAATTTACAAGTTTTTCAATTAAGAGGTGGTTTTCAAGAAAATAACCCCTGCATAAAACGAGAGGTGGGTGTACACTGTATAATTTTTAATGGTTTATTAAAAAAAAAAAAAAAAAAAAAAAAAGAATATCACTCAGACTATGCCCATTAACATTTCAATGTGAAATTATATTGCGTAATAATGAACAAATATATTTAAGTACAGGGTACTGTATTGTACATGCTAAACCTGCATCCTATGTATAGATTAATACATAAGAGATTGGTAAAAGCATATGAAAGAATTTATATTATAGTAATCATTTGCTAATGAAGAAATTATGATTTTTTAAAAGTAATATAACCAAAATACAGGGTATTTTGTTAGCAGGTACAGTACATAACTACAGGATGTCTTATAAAGTCTGCATGCAGTTTAAAATGTTAATAACTTCAGTTCTATAGAAGATAAAAACAATCTTTAAAATTTAATGGAGAGGCAATTTATTAAAGTTTTAACAACTGTAATCTTTGGATTTTAATTTTCAACATATCCACCATCATTATGGATACAAAGCTTATTACGATTTTGAAGTTCCATGAACACGTTCTGCAGTTGTGTTTCCGTTATGGCACCAATCACATCAGTTATCTTTGCACAAAGATCATCTAAAGAGTGAGGTTTTGATGAGTAAACTACAGATTTGACATGTCCCCAAAGGAAACAAATCTGGCAAGCGTGCTGGCCAGATTCCGATACATCAATCTGGGAAAACCTCATTTAAAAAATGGTGAAAATTAAACGTTGAAAATTAAAATCCAAAGATCAGTTGTTAAAACTTGAATAAATTGCCTCTCCATTAAATTTTACAGATTCTTTTTATCTTCTATAGAACTGAAGTTATTAACATTTTAACCTGCATACAGATTTTATAGGCACCCGTATACATAGTATACTGTATGCACAAATATCAAACCTGAATTTTTCTGTAGAGAGCTCCTAAGTTTTCATCATCAAATGGGAGAAAGCCACACAATAGGGCATATAATAATACCCCCATACTCCAGATGTCTGCCTCAGAACCTGAAAATATTTATTAGTTTTTTAACAAAGTAAATCCTCCCATTACCGGATTCATGACACCCTTGCCAATCAATGGGGGGGTTCATTTCCCTCATGTATATGTTGTGCCCAGTTTGTGAAATTGCTCAATTTATGAACTGGGCAGCATTTTGTCCAGTTCATGAAATGGGCTCCCAAACTAACCTAAACCAACCCAACCCAATCTAATTTAACCTATATTAACCGAACCCAACCTTACTTAAGATAACCTAACTAACCTAAATTATGTTGAGTTAGGTTAGGCCATTTTACCTAGTTCATTTACTAGGCTCCTAATCTAGCCTAGGTTAAATTAGGTCGGTTTAAGTTAGGCTAGGTTAGGCTCTCTCAAACATTCCCCAAAGATTTAAAACCGAGGCTGTCACATCTTTGTTGTCCATTGGCAAAAAGAAAAGACTCAAATGAGTTATACACAGTGAACTTCTTCCTCGGCATATAAATGATGGACTATCTTTCCTTAACACTGAATATCTATCTCTCATTTACAAATTAAATTTTCAACTAAATATAATGGAAAATGTGAAGATAATCTCATATAATTTGAATGATGTAATTTAGGTTAACTCAGTAGGAGAGGGTAGGGAATAAACTGAAGAACTTTTTAAGTTACCTAAGTAGTGTCTGCCAGATACAAGTTCTGGTGCAGCATATGCTGGAGACCCACAGCAAGTTGCCAGGCGCTGGTCCAAACCACCAGCGGGGTTGGCACACAACCCAAAGTCAATCAACTTAAGTTGCTGGTCATCATCCAATAACAGATTTTCCTAAAGAACATACAGACATGCTAAGATAATGTAGGACTGGCCAACACATCCAGAATAACAAGAAATTAGTTTTAAGACTTACAATGAATACTGCAAAACACATCCAAATTTGTATTAATTTTGAACGTCCTTTTCCTATATGTTACACTGAATTTATCAACCAATAATCGGCCTTAATCATTTGGTGATAAGAAAATAAAATAATTTGCTCATTTCCAATTACATCACCAATATCTTATGTTCAATAGATCAGATAACCTTTCATTTCTCCACTTTTAAAATACATGTACTGTACAATACTTTACTCAATCTGGCTGTAATTCTGATCATCTATGTTTATGCTGTGTATATGAAGATCTGACCTTTAATGTAAAATATATATTGTAAACTGCTTCAGCACCTTAAACACACAACAGCAAATAGTACTTACTGGTTTAAGATCTCTATGAGCATACCCCATGTTGTGTACATACGCTACAGCAGATGTTATTTGTCGAAAAAATAATCTTGCCTCATCTTCTTCTAGTCGGTCTCTCTCAACTGTATACAGTATATGGGAAATAGAGTTGGGAGTACAAGTCAAAATTATTGTTGTATATCATAACATTTCATAGTAATCAAACCAAAATGTTTCAACAAGAATGTCATAACCATCTGAAACAGCATTTACCTATGTAATCAAATAATTCCCCTCCTGGACAATACTCAAGAACCATGAATATTTTTGTGTCAGTCTCAAGAACCTGATAAAGTTTACACACATGTTGGTGTGCCAGCTGTTTCATTGCACCAATTTCCAAATGTATGCGTGGCAAATCTTCCTGAAGAAGATAAAGAAAAGTATGGTAGACCAAATACAGTTAACAGCCATTAATAATAAAAAAAAAAACAGATAAAAGTTTCCATATCTCAAAAATGTATACTGTACATTCTGGAAATACAGTAAGAGAAGTTATATGCTATTGCATCATCGAAATATTTTTTTTAGCATTCAAATTAAGAATAAGATATACAGTACTGCACTACCAGTTACTGTAGATACTTTACATTAAAAAAATATATACAGAGTACTTACCCCAAGTTGTCTTTTATCCATAATCTTGAGAGCAACTTTCTCTCCTGTTAACACATGGGTTGCCAACTTCACTTTTGCAAAGCCTCCTGATCCAATGGTTTCATGGAGTTCATACTGCCCTTCCAGAGCAGCATATGGGGAGGCTTGCTGTCGCATCTTGAATGCTACGTAAGCTCACCCCTAGGTTACCTACTCTAATGTCGATCACTGATTTTCAACATTCACTTAAAAATTTCTGTAAAAACAAAATAAACAAGATTAAAACAACATGTTACTTGTGAACTTATTCCAGTATTATACTTTCACATTTTTTCTGGTATATACACTACCATACTATATACAGTATTATAAAACATAAACAATGAATATCAAGTAAACAGAGGTCTCTCTATACTGTACAGTACCCAGTAAATCCCAGTGCTGGAATTTTTCTTACTTGTTTAAGGGCTAGTGAAAAATGATAAGAGGGTGTTAATTTTTAATTCTACTAGCCCAGCTGGTAAATCGATAAAAATGGTGAATTAGCATGCATATACAGTATGTATACTGCATTGCTACACAGCATTGTATGCATATACTGTATACTCTATACAGTGAATTAATAAGCATATACCTGTATGATTATTTTAGAGAGTAAATACAGGGGTATCTACCCAAGGGAACACAACTCATCAACTAGCCCTCAGTACAAATTATTTGATGATGGAAAGCATAATTAAAGCACAAGTTTAAACAGCATATTGTACATTAAAGGAGTAAATATTCGTTTAATGGCTGTGGCTCCTTTTTGTCATGGCATACACCAAAAAAAATAAATATTCTCCTAACAATCTCAACTTCCAAATCAATGTTGAAACCTAACCTAGCCTACCAAATACGAATATCTTGCCACAGCCATTAATCAGTATACATTATTACGAAGAGGAATGAGGTGGGTGACACAACAACTAAGAGGGCGAGAAACACACTGACCTCCATCTATAAATGTCAACTTGTTGCTTGGAGTTGGCAACATCCGGTTCACCACGGGGATAAGGTGATATTATAATTTTTAAGGGAAAATTAACCACATTGTTTTTATCATAATTAGATTTCTCAATCACTTTAAAAAAAGCCACTTTGTCACTTGTCCTGTTTTCGCCTAGAATGCCTCATACTTTTTTTCATACAAACTTACTGTACTTCCCTCAAGTACCGTTAGTAAAATACATCATTACTTAAGGTGCCTTTGGTAAATTGACAGAAACCATCCCTATCTATATCAGGATTTTAGCAAGAACTAACCAGTGAAGCATTACTTATTTTTCAATATTTCGTTCCTGTTACAATGAAACATTATTCATGGACAGCTTGTTAAGGCCGAGGAGTGTTTAGTAGAAGGCATGTACAGAGAAGCTGGAGATGATAAGTTAAAATTCAACAAACTTCTTATGAAAAAGATTTAAAACAATCACTGTAGTGGGCACTTATATAAGGTAATACGAATGAAGATTAATTTCACTGGTGAAGACTAAGGCCAGGTTTGTTTCCTCAGTACGGTTAGACGATGTGCTGACTATTAGGACATGATTGTGGGTCTTATGTGGTTCAAAACTTATATATTTACCATTTTTTATGTATTTTAAATATTACATGTGACTTTCTGCTATATTTTGTTGACAATATTCAAGAGAGTCATTTAATATTGAGGATAAAGCACCAACACTCACCAGGAGGTTTTCAAGTCCCTTAAATGTCGTTCCAATTCGCTCTCGGCCAATCAGCGATGAGCTGCTATGACGTCACAAGAGAGTTACTAGATGCCTCTTGGCCAATCAGCGATGAGCTGCTATGACGTCACAAGAGAGTTAGGAGATGCGCATCACTGACAGCAGACGATAATATTATTTCCCTTATAATGTTCATGACAATATAAAATTCTCACCATAATTTATTGAATAAGACTGAGAGTCACTCGTAAATTATAGTGGACACCGTTTAAAGTTGTGTTTAATAATGGATGTGTTTGGTGTGGGAGTGTCAGCTGAGGCAGTGCCGCAGTGCAGGTGTAAACAAAGACAAGATAACACGTCTTGCTTAAACAATTATTGGTCCAAATGGTTATAGAAATGATATTTGCCGCTATAATAGGGTGTTATATTGTTTCCTCGTTCATATTGTTTAAGTTTCCAATGTTATTACACAAGAAAAAAGATGTGAAGTTCGTGTGTAGACATATCAGTCATCGTGGAGGTAAGTGAGGGTCTATCACTGCAGTACTCTTATATACCGAGCTAAGCCTTCTGGACAATGTGCACAACTTCTGTAACTAAACTTATTTGGTATTTCTTACAAGTAGGTTCACCTTACCAGTCTAATGCTACCTTAACTTTTAATGATTAACAGTCGAGAATGATACACAATTAATGTACTGTACCGGTACTTCAATATTGAGTTAAATATCGGTCTGAGGATATATAGTAGTCAGCCCCTAAACGTTCATACAGGTTTATAATTGAGAAAGAATATTGTCTCCATTAACCCTATTCAGGGGGATTACCCAACAGCACCGGGTAACATAACTTTATAAAAGAATAGAGGAATAATCTAATATTCAAGGAAAGAGAACATAGTCAGGCATGTTACTGCAGTCCTAACTATAAGATAGTGGGTTAGAGGATGAAGTTAATATTAAACTTGGTACTTGTTATAGAGCTAGATTAATTAGGGCACCCCAGTGAGCAGTGCTGGATTTAGACCTGTGGAGGCCCATGGGCAGCCTCTTTGTGGAGGCCCCTCTCATTATAACTACCCAAGAGGGTGGGGTGGAGGGTGAAGCGAGCCTAAACATCTGGGAGTTCTGGGGGGCGCTGTAAACCCCCCGGGAAAATTTTGAAATTTGAACACTTCTTTGGAGAATTTTGATGCCATATGCAGGTATATTAAGGAAATTAGAACATTGAGAAATTTTTAATTAACTGCATATTTATTGATAGTGTACAAATTCCCAACACACACACGCGCACAAATGTGAGACATGACTGGAGTCATTCATGTGGTTTCAAGTCGACCAGCCCTGATATGTGGAGGCCCCCAGATTGTGGAGGCCCCTGGGCAGCTGCCCACTTTGCCCACTCCTGAATCTGGCCCTGCCAGTGAGGCTAGGCACTGGATTTGAACCAGGAACTGTTGGTTTAGGCATCTACCCCCCACTTTTTCTTCAAACAACCTGGGTAACTTCTGTTAAGTTCTGCAACTTTTATTTTTTCAGGGTCCTCACTGATGTGTTAGTAGATCACCTGAAGCCTCAGGTAGTGCAGGGTATTATACTTCAGGTGGGATATGTTGGGGGAGGGGTCATTCCTCGGAGGAGTATTGAGGTCCACCAGAAGGTTTGCACCCCCCCCCCTTCCAGGTAGTGCCAAATGGGTTTAACTTGGGGGGAGAGATCTTCCGGTGATCACTTGGAGGGGCACTTGTATGGTAAAAAGTCAGTAGTGACCATTCACAGAAGTTACTTTAAAAATTATGTATTTTTTATAAATTTCTTGTTCACTATTTCACAAGAATATGACCTTCATTCCTAGCAGAAATGACTACTTTTGGATATATGACACACCCCCCCTAAGTACAGGTACCAATATTGTGGAGGTAAAACACACCCAAAACTTCTCTCAAATATCAGCATCCATGTCTAACTTAACCTAACATGCTGCGGTGAGTTTCATACATCACTTACATAAAACAACCTACATTTACATAATTCTACACTAATTTTACTATTTATTGTGCTCAAATATGTAGATGTTATTCACTGAGGCACTTTTTAGGAGATGACACATGACATTCTATGGCCTAAGGCACAAATTTGTACGGTACAGTTTTACCACCAATACTCTGTCACAATGCCACTACCACATCATGTTATGTTGATACCCAAAAATAATGAGAAATTATATATACAGTATTTACATTATTTACAAAAGTCTTTCCTGTGCTTCAGAGTTTTGAAGGGTGTGGTATTGTTGGTAGCATGGAATCAGGCAAAGAGCAACGTCACACTGAGTCCACTGATAGCGAGTGTCTTTGTGTATTTTGACACAGATTTCACTCATACAGCACACATGATAATTTTTTTCCGGGAATACTGCTTTACCTCACTTGAAGGAATCACTGAAGGGAAGTGTTGAGCAATCAGTCACAACCTCCAGGTCTCTGACGAGGTAATGCATTGGTCACCAAAAGCTGGCTTACCACATTCAATGAAAACTCGTGGAGTGTAGGTATTTTACCTGTCTTCACTAGATGAAGAATGTGCACATTCAGAAGGGACATGTCTAAAATATGGAAGAATAGTTTTTTGTACCATTTCATAGTCTTATGTGCACAATCTGTATTGGAGATCATGCTGTCAGACTTGTCAACCAGATGCATGTTGGACGTGTGGTCTGGGACACAGTGTGGCTTGTAGAGCCTCACCCTAGTCTTGGGGTCGATGTTGTGTGTGATGGTGTTGGCCCTATGGTGTCAAGGGTCATTAACATCACTCTCACTCTCCTTGTCACCTTGTGGGTAATCAGGGTCATTGACATCATCAGAATCACTCAAACCACTCTCCAATCCTAATGGCTTCTCAGCAGGGCCGTCCCTAGGGGATGGCAACCGGTGCGACTACCCCGGGCCCCACGTTGAGCTGACTTCACCTTACCACCCAGATTCAGGAGACCACCTGAAGGATTAGTGACCAGCACAGTTAGGCAGTGAATCTGCTGACATGAGGTCAAAGGTAAGATTAAGCCACCCCATCTTACCACCCAGCCTGAGAACAATGTCATTCTTTACTGTGCACTCTGTCGAAGAGGAGTGAGGACGTTGACAGCGGTCACCTGTCAATGTTGTCGAACCTCTGAATCTCCAGTTGTCCGTGATTTGTGTTTTGTAAAATTGTTGATATACATTATTTTACTATCGTACACAGCCCTCGTTTTTTTTATTATACCATGGCCAGCCGGGATAGAGACATACAGAAACTATACCTTGGGTGCAAAGAAAAGGCAGAAGGAAAGGAAGAGAGAAGAAATCGAAATGTCGATGAAAGATTCCCTGGAAAAATATGTGCTTTCAAAAACACCAGAAATTAATGAAAAAAAAAGGACCTGTGCGACTGTGATGGTGATAGTGTGGGTCATATTCAAGCTGAGGAAGAGGATAGTACTGAAAAAATACTAAGGGTTTTAAAATGGCCAGTTGGTAAAAAGGGACCTGTTAAGGTATCAAGTGAAAACTATGTGCTTCCAAAAAATGGTGAAAGTCGACTCTTTTTCAAAAGACTTTTACATGTTAAGATTGCCAAATGGGGAAATATATGAAAGATGTTGGCCTATATACTCCAAGAAGGTTGATGCAACTTTTTGCTTCTGTTGTAAAGTGTTCAGTTCAAATATATATATATATATATATATATATATATATATATATATATATATATATATATATATATATATATATATATATATATATATATATATATATATATATATATATATATATACATACATACATACATACATACATACCTATACAGGTGCTCCCCGACTTAAGACGGGGTTAGGGACCCAAATCCAGGTCGTAATTAAAAATAAATAAATAAAAAATCTACAATGAAATACAGTACAGTAAAAGTAATAAATAATGAGGAATGGATACAGTGCAGTAAAAGTAATAAATACAGTGACCCCTCGGTTAACGAACTCAATCCGTTCCAGAAGGTCGTTCGTTAACCGAAACCATTGTTTCAATGGGTTTTTGGGTAATTGGTTCCAGCTCACCGAAAATTGCCTAAATTCAAAAAAAATTGTAGAAAAGTTCACTTACTTTGAGGTGTGTATGTAGAAGGCTCCTGGATGATGATGATGATGGGAATTAGAATGGGGGTGGAGGAGAAGGAAGAAGAGAAGGCATTGGGGTGGAAGAGAAGTCACCCCATGGCACCATTTCACCCATAAAATTTTAGTTCTCTTGGTGTATTTCAAGATTATTTTCTTTAAATCAACACTGCACTGCATTGTATATTGTCAATATGTAAAATATATTTCAAAATGACCAATAATTTGCTTGGAAACACAGAAAAAAAGCGTTTAGTTGAAGAGAGTCTCAAGCAAGATGTTACCTCCAGTGAAAACAGAGAGACTAACGCCTGTTTGTTGTGTTAAGAGGCTGGATGCCGCGCATTAAACTAGTCACTTTACCTTCAATTATGTTCAATAATTGTTAAAATGACTAAAAAATTGAATATTAAACTTTTAAAATTATTGAATAGTATAAACTTCTTGATATTTACTAAAATAGTAAGGAATTTAAGCCCTAGAACCGATTAATGCATTGGCGGACTGATACTAAAGCTGGTTGCCCGGTCAGTGCAAGCGAAAACATGTTGAGGTCGGTTCGTAAGAAATTCGTTAACCGAATTTTTGTTCGTTAACCGAATTGAAGATCCTTATGGAAGGCAGTTCGTTAACCGAAATTTCGTTAACCGAGGCGTTCGTTAAACGAGGGGTCACTGTAATGAGGAATGGATACAGTGTGACTGAGCATTTATCTTTAATGTAGTCAGCTGAATGCACACGGGGCCCCCATAATTTTCTAATTATACATGGAGACTACATTAACTGGAAACGTTTCGGTATAGAAAATGTGCGCGTCATTTGAAAAAAAAATAAAATTTGGTCACAACTGCGGCGGTCGTAAGTCCCGACGGTCGTAAGGTCAGAGCAGGTCGTAAGTACCGATGGACTTAAGTCCAAGCACACGAAGGGTCAAGACGTACCTGGCGCTCCTCTCGGAGCAGCCAGGTCAACTGTTATGTTGGCCCATACCAACTCCCTCCCCTGAACCCTCCTCCCCACCGGAATATCAACAAGTTCACGCCAGAAGTTACTATTTCATTTAGGAAAGAAATGGAACCAGTGTTAAACAAAGGTGAACAGTGGTGAACAGTGCTTAAGTCAGTGAGAACAACTCAACAGTAACAGTGGTACCCAAGTTGACCTTTCACACAGTGAGGTCCCAGGTACCCAGTGATAACGGCCCGTGAGACCCAACTACCAGCGATGTGTTAATCCGTCTACGATAGGAAGGCCTGGAACCACACCTCACTCATATAACACCATCTGTGAGGGAATTACTACACCACGTGAGGCCCCTCATAACACCATATGTGAAGGAGTTACTACACCACGTGAGGCCCCTCATAA